TGAGCCACCGCACCCGGCCCTGCAACTTCTTTAATATACTTATTGAAAAAATATGTATTAATGTAACAAAATATAAAGTAAATGTGTGTCTTCAGGAAGCCCTATGTATAAATGTTCAGGACAGCGTAAAAAATTATGCTAAATCTACCCTGCCTGTGCTCTAGAAATGGAACAACAAATTACAGGCACACACCACCACACCACACCCAGCTAATTTTTGTACTTTTAGTAGAGACAGGTTTCACCATGTTGGCCAGGATGGTGAGGACTGACTTCAATTTTGAAAGTTCTGCTGGGGTTAAAATGCTATCAAGCAGCATCACATGTTACAGAGAAATCCTTCATGCAAGGAAGAATCAATCAATGAGTCAAACTTCATTCTTGTCTTATTTGAAGAAATTTGCCACAGCCACCCCAGCCTTCAGAATCCACTACCCTGGGCAGCAGCCATCAGCATCTAGACAAGACCCTCCAGCAGCAAAAAGATTACTACTCACTGAAAACTCACGATTGTTGGCATTTTTTAGCAATAAGGTACTTTTAATTAAGGTATCTATCTATCTACCTACCTACCTACCTACCTACCTACCTATCTATCTCAGAAATAATGCTACTGCACACTTTAATAAGCTACAGAATAGTGTTAAGGTAACTTTTGTATACGCTGGGAAACCAAAAAATTTATGCAGCTTGCTTAATTGCAGTATCTGGAATCAAACCCACAGTATTTCAAAGGTATGCCTGTATTAAAAAGAATGAGCAGCTGGGCACAGTGGCTGACGCCTGTAACCCCAGCACTTTTGGAGGCCGAGGTGGGTGGATTGCGAGATCAGGAGATCAAGACTATTCTGGCCAACATGGTGAAACCCCGTCTCTAGTAAAAAATGCAAAAATTAGCTGGGCGTGGTGCATGCCTGTAATCTCAATTACTTGCGAGGCTGAAGCAGGAGAATAGCTTGAACCAGGGAGTCAGAGGTTGCAGTGAATTGAGATCACACCACCGCACTCCAGCCTGATAGAGCAAGACGCTCTCTCTCCAAAAAAAAAAAAAAAAAAAGAATGACCTAGATAAGTATGGTCTCATGTGGAATAATGTTCACAACAGAGTAACTTTTGTAAATGTAAATGGTAGAACAGTCTCACTTGTTTTTGATTATTCATAGAAAATGGATTTAGAAAGTCATATAAAATGAATGTTAAAATGACCTCTGAGCAGTAAAATAGTGGGTTTAAAATATTCAGTAAACCATGCTGTAAACAGATGTGTTGTCATTCAGGCTTTGTTGTTCCATTTCTAGAGAACAGGCAGAGTAGATTTAGCATAATTCTTTTTTTTTAAGCTGTCCTGAACATTTATACATAGGTCTTCCTGAAGACACACATTTTCATTTCTACTAAATACCTAGGTATGGCTTTATACACACACATATATAATTTTACTTTAAGTTCTGGGATACATGGGCTTAATGTACAGGTTTGTTACAGAGGTATACATATGCCATGGTGGTTTGCTGCATCTATCAACCTGTCATCTAGGTTTTCAGCCCCGCATGCATTAGATATTTGTCCTAATATTTAGCATAATTCTTTTTTAATTTTTTATTATTTTTTTTAGCTTTTTTATTTTTTTTTCTTAAAGATGGGATTTCACCATGATGGCCAGGCTGGTCTTGAACTTCTGACCTCAGGTGATCCACCCCCTCGGCCTCCCAAAGTGCTAGGATTACAGCATAATTCTTTTTTTTTTTTGAGACGGAGTCTCACTCTGTCGCCAGGTTGGAGTGCTGTGGTGTGATCTCGACTCACTGCAACCTCCGCCTCCTGGGTTCAAGCGATTCTCCTGCCTCAGCTTCCTGAGTAGCTGGGATTACAGGTATGTACCATTATACCTGGCTAATTTTTTTATTTTTAGTAGAGATGGGGTTTCCCCATGTTGGTCATGCTGGTCTCGAACTCCTGACTTTGTGATCCACCCGCCTCGGCCCTCAAAGTGCTGGAATTATAGGCAGGAGCCACCAGGCCTGGCCAGATTTAACATAATTCTTAAGGGCCCTAGGATTTTCAAAATGGTAAACAAGCATTGGCTTCAACTGACAACCACCAGCTACATTAGGCCTTAACAAGTGAGTTAGCCTGTCCTTTTTAAGCTCTGAAGCCAGGCATTGACTTCTCCTCTCTAGCCATGAAAGTCTGAGAAGTCATCTTCTCCCAACAGAAGGTTTTTTCATCTCCATCTGAAAAAATATTTCTTAGTGTGGCCGCTTTCATCAATAATCTTAGCTAGATTTTCTGGTCAACTTGCACCAGCTTTTTCATCAGTACTTGCTGCTTCACCTTACACTTTTATGTTATGGAGATGGCTTCTTTCCTTAAACCTCATGCCAGCTTCAAACTTTTCTTCTGCAGTTTACTCACCTCTCCCAGCCTTCAGAGAACTGAGAATCAGGGCCTTGCTCTGGATTAGGCTTTGGTTCAAGGAAATGTTGTGGCTGGTTGGATCTTTTCCACGGACCACTCAAACTTTCTTCATAGCAATAAGGCTGTTTATCTTTCTTATAATTTGTGTGTTTAGTGGAGTGGCAGTTTCAATTTTCTTAAAGAATTTTTGCTTTGCATTCAAAACCTGGCTAACTGGTACAAAAAGCCTAGATTTCTTTTGACAAAACTTTCTCACTAACCTTGATCATCTCTAGCTTTTGATTTAAAGTGAGACACATGCAATTCTTCCTTTCACTTCAACACTTAGAGGCCATTGTAATGATATAAAATGGCCTGATTTTAATATTGTTTTGTCTTAGGGAATAGGGAGGCCCAAGGGGAGAGAGAAACGAGAGTGGCCAGTACTAGGGCAGTCAGAATACTCACGACATTAATCTATTAAGTTTGCATCTTATAAGAACATGGCTGGTGGCACCCCAAAACAATTACAATGATGACATCAAGAATCACTGATCACAGATAACGATAATAAATATAATATTAACAAAAGTGTTTGAAGTATTGTGAAAATTACCAAAATATGACGCAGAGACATGAAGCAGGTACGTGCTTTCGGAAAAATGTTGCAGACAGACCTGCTTGATGCAGGGTTGGCACAAACTTTCAATTTGTAAGAAATGCAGTATCTGTAAAGCACGATAAAGCTAAACACAACAAAAGGAGGGATGCCTGTAGTTCCTGGTATGAAGTACCATAATTCTCCATTTTTCTCCCTTATTTGTTAATCCATTTTGCATTTATTGAACTTCTCTCAGTGAGACACACTGTGTGGCTGGAGAAATAGCAGGGAAGGAAACAGACATGGCTCCTGACCTTGGGGGCTAGCTCTCTGGTAGGGGGAGACAAATCATCAACAAGTAACCTGCTAGAGTGAGGATTCAAAGGCAAACAGTTAAATTTTGGTCATTGTTCTCCTGGAGCCTACATTTTAGGGTAATTACATAAAATATAATACCCCTGAACACTAATTGGAACATAGTAATTGGTCAGTAAGTGTAAATTTTTATTACTACTTAAAAAATTGGTTACAATCTGTCATTGAATTCATTGTTGGAGACTGCTTTCTGAATACTGGCTTTTGCCATCTGACTACATTCTATAATTTGCCTTGCCTGTTTATAGCCTTGGTCATGATTTTTCTGGTTTGCCTTTTACTAATAAATATGTATGTAGTTCTGAGGCAGGAGAATAGGGTCTGGAGGCAGGAAACATAAGGCCGATTCTTGCTGACTTCCTGGAACTAAGTCAAATGAAAACACTTCAGCAATGAGAGGAAACATCGTCTGCGTTTACAGATGGCTTCCATCCAGTAAACGACTTTGTAACTTTACTTCATCCTCTTCATTTACACAGGACATATGCCAATTAACCAATGGAAGCCTCTAGACGGCATTTAAACCCCAGAAAATTCTCTAACGGGGCTCTTGACTCTTGAGCCCATGTGCTCTGGGGCTCCCAACCTATGGGGTGTACTTTCATTTTCAATAAATCTCTGCTGTTTTTGCTTCCTTCTTTCCTTGGTTTGTTTGTGGGTTTTGTCCAATTCTTTGTTCAAGGCGCCAAGAACCTGGACACATCAACCGGTAACAACTATTCCTTAAATAAATACAGCAACCACTTGCCTATTACGTGTGCAGGTATTTTCCTTGTACCCCAATTGTCTTTTAGGTTCCTTAAGGTCATATCTAAACATGGACTTTTGAGATTTGTTGTAGCTAAACCTGTATGTAAGCATTTAGGCTTCCTACTTCTTCGGGTCATTTCTTGTGGACTTCCACGCACATAGCTGTAAGCTTTTCTCCTGTTAAACTGTCTCATATCAATTTAACCTGTTAGGCCCAGGTGGAGACCTTAAGACGGTAGAGGTAAAGTTTTGTCTCCTTTACAACGGAGGAAGAAGAGCAGCAGGTACAGGGAGAGAAAATTTGTCTAAGAAATAACTTTTTGGGGAGATTAGGCTTGCTCAGTATTGGAAAGGCCTGTATTGCAAGAGTGAGCTTTTGCAGCGGCAGATAGGTGGCTTAAAGTTTCTTTCAACAAAAAAATTCTCTTTCCACAAAGCAAAGAAGGAAATCTCTTAATGAAGTGTTCCCTAAGGAAGGAAAGCTCTCTTTTTTTTTTTTTTTTTTTTTTTTTTTTTTTTTTTTTGGAGTGGGTGGAGTTTTGCTCCGCCGCCCAGGCTGAAGTGCAGTGGTTAGATCTCAACTCACTGCAACCTCCGCCTCCAGGGTTCAAGCGATTCTCCTGCCTCAGCCTCCTGAGTAGCTGGGACTACAGGCGCGCGCCACCACGCTCTACTACTTTTTTGTATTTTTAGTAGAGTGCTGGCCAGGCTGGTCTCGAACTCCTGACCTTGTGATCTGCCCGCCTTGGCCTCCCGAAGTGCTGGGATTACAGGCGTGAACCACTGCGCCCGGCCCGGAAGGAAAGCTTTTAACCGGACGGCCCAGGAAGGACACAGCAAGCAGGACTAGAAGCAGCGCGGTGCAAAGTTTGTTTACCTCGGACGCCAGGTTAAGCATGGGTGAGGTGACGGGGAATTCGCCACTTAGGTTCTAGCAAATGGTGGCCTCCTTGCTAAAGCTGAGAGCAGAGGGCCGGGCAGCAATACTGCAGCTAAGAGCCAGCTCGGAAAACGCAGCATTGGAGATGTGAGGCAGGGGGCGCCGGACGCAGAGCAGCGGGAGCGTCTCCCAAGCGCCTCCGGCTCCCGGAAGAGGGCGGGGCCACCTAGCATCCCGCGGGCTAAAACCGGCGAGCCAGGGCCGCGCGCTAAGGCTACTCAGCCGCAAGCCGAGCTGTCGATCGCCGTCGTTGCTGCAGCCTGTGCTCCCCGCTCTGTGGCTCCACCCGCCATTGTGTAAGTGCGACTGCAGCCGGGCGCGCGGGCCGCGGCAGGGGGCGGCGGCCCCTGGCTCCCCAGGTCCCCGGATGGTGACGGGCCCGCGGGGAGGGCCGTAGGGGCAAACCCAAAGACCTTACAGCCGCCGGCGGAAGCCGGCCTCCCGGGGGCCCCCGCCGCCGGCGGCGCTGCAGGCGAGCGGCAGCGGGTCCCCAACGCCGGGTGCCGCGCAGCCGCTCAGCTGGTGTCTTGGTCCCAGAGCGCGCTGCCGAGTGCCGGCTTCAGGCGTCTCGCGTGCTGTTGGTTTCGCGCGATGTTTAATTCGAATTGAGAAAGTCTAATTTTTTTTTTTTTTTTTTTTTAATGCAGAGGCCAATAATCCGTTATGGAGCATGCCTTTACCCCGTTGGAGCCCCTGCTTTCCACTGGTACTGTATTTCTTTACACGTTTTAGTATCACTGACGTGCCCCTCCTCAGCGACCGGAACAGGTCCAAAGGACGGGGCTCTGGAGCCAGCATGATTTCCAGTCTGGGTTCTGTCGCTGATTTCCTAGCTCTGTACCGCTAAGCATATCACTCAGCCTCTCGCCGGCCTCATTTTCCTCATCTGAAACAGGGGCATACGTACCAGTCCTTGCCGCGAGGACGAAATGACACGATATAGTTGCGTGTAGTCCGCCTGGAGCCCAGTAAGCGCTGCCTGTAACCCCGGCTGTTGAGACTCCATCGGCAGCGCGAACCAATCTGGAACGTAGCGGAACATTAGACATTGCAGGCATCAAGGACGGTCATCGTTGTCTGTCCGTGATGCGTTTTTAATCCATTGAAGGTGCCCCGAGCCTACCCAATAAAAGATTGGTCAATGGTTATATCAAGTGCTTCCAATGTGTATAACACTTGGGATTTTTTATTCTAAAATTTGAAATTGCTGTGTAACCTAGCGCAGGCTGGGCTGCTCGCTGGTTGTAGAGCCAATCAACAAGGACGAAGTGCCCAGAAAGAAAGTTTTCCAAAGCTAGCAATGGGGACGTGGTCCAGACCCCTGACTTAAGGAAACCATTTCAAATTTGGATAAAATGCAAGTGCTTTAAAAGGGGAGCTTGGTATTGGGGCGCCGGGGTCCCAGTCTACCTGACTTGCTCAGATGATTAATCTTGGGTTATTGCCTCATCTGGTGAATGGGCTGGCGCCATCTCGAGTGTAACTGGATTGTAAATTAACTGCAGCCTTGAAGTAATTTCCAGGTGGGGGAGAATTCAGTTGTCGCCTTGTTTCTAAATTAGTCTCTGGAACTTCAAACACATAATTAGATAAGGAATACATTGTGTGAGGGGTGCGTGGAGGAAAGAAGGAAAGCAAAGATTATTACCTCATTGCTAAAGGTAAGAGAAGGAATGGCACAGGAAAGAGAAAAAAAAACTTGAAAACAAGACATTCGGGTACTTCACGTGGAAACGGATGGAATGAATGAGTTTATGAGGCAGGTTAATTGTTAGTAACATTCATTCTTGTGTAATAATTAACTTCTGTGTGATAATTTGGTAATGTTATTTTTAATTAGCCATTAGTTTTTATTTTCTTGTTTATAACTCATACATTTAAACAGAAAGTATAATTCTTTAAATGTTCACATTTGTTTTCTGTAAACAGGAATTCATGGGTCTTGTTTAGGGCATTTTTAACTTGTGTGTTTTTCCACATGCTCGGAGTAGTAGGTGACATTGACTCCTTACTCTCGAGTCATGTTTTTGTTTGTGACAGGGTGTTGCTTTGTTGTCCTGGCTGGAGTGCAGTGGTGCCATCATGGCTCACTGCAGCCTCGACTCCCGTGTTCAAGCCATCCTCCCACCTCAGCCTCTGGAGTAGCTAGGACTACAGGTGTGCATTACCCCACTGGGCTAATTTTTAACTTTTTGGTAGAGAAGGGGTCTTCCTATGTTGCCCAGGCTGGTCTCAAACTACGGGGCTCAAGTGATCCCATTCTCCTGCCTCAGCCTCCCAAGTGGTGGGATTACGGATATGAACTACCACACCCAGTCATAATAAGTGCTTTATATACATGTTTATGTCTGATTTTACTGGTGAAAGAAAACAGTTACAGAACTAGAATCTTAACCTGGTTATTTTATTAGGTTAAAAGATTGAGTGTTTATTACCTTAAACAGATTTTCAAGAGTTTAAAAAAAAAAAAAAAAAAAAGGCCAGGCGTGGTGGCTCACGCCTGTAATCTCAGCACTTTGGGAGGCTGAGGCGAGAGGATCACCTGAGATTAGGAATTAAAGACCCACCTGGCCAACATGGGGAAACCCTGTCTCTACTAAAAATACGAAAATTAGTTGTATGTGGTGGCGCGCTTCTGTAATCCCAGCTACTCTGGAGGCTGAGGTGAGAGAATTGTAGGAGGATTGCTTGAGCCTGGGAGGTGGACGTTGCAGTGAGCTGAGATTGGACCACTGCACTCCAGCCTGGGAAACAGAGACTTCATCTCCATACAAAAACAAAAACCAAAAAAAACCCCAAAAGGCATTGGCAAGCACATTTTGCAAATTTCCTAGTTCTCATTTATCCAGCTTCAGGAGGACAAACAAACAGCATATTCTAGAGCAAACATTTGATTTGGATGATCTTTTGACTTTCAGATTTGTTACTGAAACCTAAGAGCCTTACTGTCTGAAGATCTCTAATGGTTTTTAGGTTAAAAGAAGTACATCAGAGATACTGATTGCTGTGGAATAAAGATTGTATTGAGGAATTAGAGTATCTGGATTTAAATCCTAGCTTTTCCACTTAATACTTATTTGACCTTGTACTTCCGTTTCTTCATCTGTAAAATAGGAACACATCACAGGATTGTTATGTGTATAAATGAATTAGTACACAGCAAGCCCTTAGCTTCAATAGCTGTAAGCTATTCAGCAGGAAGTTTGAGGGGAAAGCAAAAGGACAGTTGAATCTCAGGGTGGATGCTGAGATGGAAAAGGAGGGAGCAGATAGCTCTGCCTCCTTTGTTTTTATTAGAGGCTTAGTGGAGAAGGCCTTGACTGCTTTGTAAGTTCCAAATTGGAGTAAGGCCCGTAGGGGAATGGTGATACATTATGAAGTACAGATCCAGGGGACAGAATCCAGTGTTCCCTTGGGTGGTTCTCAGTTTTCTCCTGTTGTTCCTATGGTTAAAACTATGTAGGATTCTTGTCTTAACTCTAGTTTGGCATTGAAACAGGGACTTGGGCAAGTTTGTGATTACTCTAGATATGTGTGAGGTATTTAACAACAGAACTATTACTGTAAGGACCAGTTTAATGCTGGGTCTTTTACAATAATTCATTAAATTTTTGAGGTTAGTTTTTCATTGGAGAGATTCCCTTTATCAAATAGATTTAATGTTTAATACTCACCTGGCAGAGAAGTTTTTCTGATAACATCTTCTGTGAATTTGATTTGCTGGAAAGATTTATCTGTAATGCTTATTAAGATTTAGTATAGTGGGCAATCCAACAATAAAGGTAGTTCTCTACAGATTAAGGAGTAGCTAAGAAAAGTTTTCTGGACCAAAAATACTTATCCCTCTGGAATGATCACTAGCCCAGAGAAAAATGGAATTCTTTTTAAAATTTTTTAGCTTTTTGTAACTAAAGTAAGTACCCATTATTTAAAGAAAAACAACTATCTACTCTAGAATGTGGAAGTTTCCTATACTTCCTTTTCCAGAAGTAACTCTTATTTCTCTTACTTTAAACAAAATGGGTTCATAAATTGTTTTATAAGCTACTGTCTGGGGGCAGTGAGTTAAAAACATAAATATTTGTTACTACAAACATCATGTGTATTCTGTTCATTTTTTTCAAACTACGTAAAAAGTGTATCCTAGTTACCAGACATCATTAATTTAAAAATTTGTGTTTTTTTAAATTTTGTATGAATAAACAAAAATAGGACTACTTGATTTTCTGCAGCTGTTTTCACCTACTATTTTGTTATGTCTGTGTGTATACATATTCCAAGTGTTTTGTTTTTTTAATGAGCAGTGTGGATTCAAATTACTGGTCATTCTTTTTTATTTCTTTTTATTTTTTTATTTTTTATTTTTTTTTAGAGACACGGTATTGCTCTATTGCCTAGACTGGAGTGCAGTGATGTGATCATCGTTCACTGTAACCTCTGATGCCTGGGCTCAAGCAGTCCTCCCACCTTGGCCTCCCAAAGTGTTGGGATTACAGGTGTAAGCTGCTGTGCCTGGCCTCACTAGTCTTAATAGACATTTATATTACTTCTAATTTACTATCACAGTCTACATTGCATATCTTTGATGATACTATTTTTCATATTTATGTGAGTATTTTAGTAGTATAAGTTTCTAGAAACACAGTTGCCAGGCTAAATGGTATGCTTGCATTTCTGGCTATCAAGAGGATTTATCAGCTAACTAGTGTATATCCTTTTGTACTAGGTACTGAGGGGGATACAAAATTGAAAGAGGTGGTCTTCTATCCAGGAGTTTATGATCTAGTTGAGTATCAAGAACAAAACATAAGATTCCAGTGAGATGTCGAATTATGTATTATAGAACCCACATAGGAACTGTGGAGATGGGGATGACAGGCAGGCTGGAGTAGGAAAATAAATCATGGGGTGAATCAGACATCAGCTGGGCCTCCAAAAGAACACTGGGTTTAAATGGAGAGGAGGTTTCCAGAAGAGCACTGCAGGTGATGGGCCATCCTTGAGAAAGAGCTCGGTGCTGCATCTGG